ACTAAAAACAAAAATGGGCCTAGAATTGAACCTTGAGGGACACCCATGCTAATTACAGACCCTGACGATCTCGTACCGTTAACATCGACCCTCTGTTTCGGTTTTGGTCGAGCGGTTGATTTCCAATTGCAAGGCCCACGCGTCATATCAACACGGCAGCATATCAAGCTACAGATTGACGGATCATGTGCCGTTGTACTAGAGGCGATATTAGTACAAAAGTGTATAGTTTGATGTGCAATTGAATGCACAACTATGATTTTAACTTATGTAACATTTGTGAATGTTTGATAGCAGTACAATGACGACTGTGGTTTAGTGGCTGGTACAACGGTACTACTTACTGCGTTCCGATTTTGAAAGGGGCGCTGGTAGAATTACAGGCACATGGGCATTGTCAAATTATATCTCAGGGTGAGATGGTGAATTTTGCGATAAGATTTTTGCGATTTCAAGCTCTGAATAAAACGGCAACTGTTATGGAAAGACGCGTCTCTTGGTGTTACAAAATAAAAAAAAATCTACATTGTCTCGGGTATGGGTGTTGGTGGTACCGTCGTTATTTCCGAATTCCATAACACAAATGCTTTAGTTACGTACTTAAGGTTACCTGTCAGAAGTCCGAGATGACGTTTACCAGAAATAACGTTTGGTCGCATTTTCATAACCTAACTTAACCTAACCGAACTTAATTCTGTCTTTGCGATAAACGTCCAATATATCCTGAAAGAACAACGGTTTCGTTATAATTCGGTTTTCGGGGTAATGAACATTCGAACAAACGTTATATGGGAAAAAATAAATTCGAGTTTGTGATAGGTTACCTTTACTTAGGGGTCAGAGCAAGTATGTGATGTTATCTAATATTTAAAAAATTGCATATACTAATCTTATTTCAAACAGGGAAAGATAACATTGTGATGAAACCTTCACGTCGAAGACAGTTCACAACCTTTGGAAAAAGTTGGACGATGATGAATATTTAAATGTGGCGTATTTTGTTCTTCAACAACTTTTTAAGTTATACCATGAACCAATTACTCTAGAGGACTGTTATTCGCTATACAAGACAGCGTAGAGAGGTATTTAGTACATCTAGTCATCTAGCAGTAATGTCAGCATTACTGTGTTCCGGTTTTGAAGAGGGTGCTAGTGAAATTACAGGCACATGGGATTTGTCAACTCACGTCTCAAGGTGGCGGGCGCAGTGGCAGTGCCCCTCAGATCTTTGCAATTTAAAGAGACAGATGTCGCAACGAGTAACAAATAGTTATTTTTGTAACTAATTTATTTTACATTGATAAGCTTCAATTTATCAAACCTAGTCTTATTTCTAGTGATAACAAACGAATCAACTAGATGGCGCTTCTTGCGCAGGTTTTAATGGATAGTGCTCGTTATTCTTTTATTTTGCTTAGGATAAGCGCCATCTACCCATATTAGGAAGTTTTTGTTTATAAATTACTTTGTAATTATTGACACGCAAATTGTACGAAGTTCACAGAATAAGTTTAGCTCATGATCAATATTTGAATCACGTATAAATTACAAATTTTAATTTTTCTGGTGTATATTATTAATTCCTTCCAATCTTAGCTCTCCTGGGGGTCGATTCAGAACCTTACGATAACGATTCGATTTGATATCGTATGATTTCTTTTCATTTTTATTCACAACGCCCGAATCGAACGTCAAACCGTCGAAATCGAAACCGAAATGACGTCACACCCGTACGGTTACTTGAACTTCTCGACCGGCAAAGGCTACAAACGTTATTCAGAACACAGTTATCGAATGGAACTTGCCGAACGTCCTATGGTTTACAAAGCAAGAATGGAAATCTCTTATTATTTTAAAAGAAATATGGATTTTGTTCTATTGATTTATTTTAATGGAAGACTAACGCATGTTTATAATAGTTATTTTTGATACAAGTGCGGAAAGTTAGTCATTATTCACGAGTCTCGAGGCAAGACTCGAGACAAGTGAAAATGACAAATCCGCATGTGTATCAAACAACGTTTTTTAATACGTTTGCGAAAAACCTACATTGAAAGTAAAATAAAACAGTATTTAAAAAAAACCTCATTTTATTCCTTTGTCAATAACAAAATCAAATAGTAAAAAAGTTAATGAAAAAGGCGGGAATGTAAACGATGAAAAAAATTAGTACTTTTTTTGGCCGACTTTTTTCAATATGGCAACTGTTGCCAGTATTCAGCCACATTAAAATTACTATTTATATTACTTTATTTTCTACATAATCGCTACTAAGGAGCATTTACTTCATAGGTGTAAAAATGCGGTCTCTCAATAGATATAGTATAGTAATGACGAATGACTTACGTCACAAAGCACATAAATATGAAATAAATATACAATCTCTTTAGTTCTATGTTTAAGACTTAAAACAACAGTGAATTAAAAAAAAACTGGAAAAGTAAAAAGCACTAGTGCGAGAAATCCAACTTTCCGCACGATTTGTAGTGCGAAAAATACCACGTTTTGAGCAACTGTATTAAAAAAGGATTTTCATTTTTCTTATAATCTATTTCACCGACTCACTCCGTAAACGCTGTTGGGTAACGATATCGTATTCGAATCGAATGTTCTGAATAGCTCTGAAAGCGTCTTCGATTCGAAAACTAAGTACTAAGTTAAAATATCGAAGAGTTCAGAATCCGGTTTCTAACATTTTACTTTTACGTTGGCACAAAGTAGTCTAGATCCATTTAGTATACAAAAAATGATACAGGGAAAAAATTGCTTTCTTATATTTCACATTAAAGAGGAATTAAATTATATCCACTGCCAAAGATAAGACGGAATTTTGACCTTTTTCAGAGTTACGATTAGTATGGAGATTAGCAGCCCTTAGAGTTGGTCTGTGGTTATATCAAAGTCAACAACTCACGCCCCGCTTCAGACGGCAAATCGGTTAAGTGTGAGATCTCCTTGTCGGTGTTATCGGGCGATGTGGCCTGCGACCGACGCTCTGTCTCTACGGTGTACGTGTCCTCGACGTGACTGCCCTGGTCCGAACTACGCCTTCTGCTGTCGCCTTGTTCGCCTTCACCGGCAGCTGGTTCAGCAACTGAATAAATCGAACCTCAATGCATAAATCGACGAAATACAGAAAGTATTTATTTATGAAAAATTATAAAAAAAGGTACGAAATTAAAATAATATTTTAATGTTAGAGTCTTAGAATAATAACGCATGGAATGATAGTTTGAAATCAAACGAACTGTCACAAGTGAGGCAAAAATCAAATTCATGTACGAGTAGGCTAGTTTTAGTAGTAGGTTAATTTTCGGTTTTAGTGAAATTTATATAAAAATACAAGTTGAAACGCGTTACTTCCTTGTGGAATGTGATGTTAGTATCTATTTTATGTTTGTCTGACGTATTTTTACACTCATTTACCGCACATTTCGTCATTTTTAGCTAAAATTCTTGATCTGTTCGCGGTGCAAGTTGACCTTGAGCACTGAAGGCCCGCCCGCTCATGTAGGCCCTTTGGGAGCGCTTCAATTTGCCTCACTTAGCGTGTGCGGACTAGGTTTCTATGCGTTATTATTCTAAGGTTGGAGTAAAAAATTACATAAAAATGAGTTCCGTTTAACTTGACATAGTATTAAAAATCCCTAACGATTTTCTGGAAATTGCAGGTCAAAAATAATTTGTTTTTAATTCAGACTTTCTAGATTTTGAGAGCTCTTTACAAAAAGCCAACTAATAGCCTGGTAAAATTTTCCATTTATTTTAGTACTGTAACTGAGGCGTAGCTTGGGTTGCGTAGCGAGAGGTACTTTTATGAATTTAAACTGGAATAATCTTCAAAATATACTTTATTGCACCTTTTTTACATGCTTTCGGCGTTGAGTTATATTTCGTTGTCAAGATGCTCTATTCTTTTCTTATTTCATTTTTCAAAACATTCTAATTACAAAACTATTCATTCAGCCAGAGATTCTACTCAGAGTAGAGCCTAGACTACAGTACCACTAAAGGATCAACTCCTTTTTCAGTTCAGTGGCGAGTACCATAGACAATAGAATTTTGGTTCAGAACTACTAGAAAATAGTGGTTTAAATATAAGCGGTTCTTGTTCCCTTATGTTCTATCAGTTTGGTTTTTTGTATTGTAGCGTTTGCTTGGGTTCCGTTTGTGTTTGTACTCATACATTGTTTACAAAACACATTAAATATTGGTTGTGTTATTTTATTTAGTCGTAGGAAAAGTAAGTGTTAAAATCTCGTACCTATTACTTAGGTAAACACGGTACGCGACTTTAAGATCAAATAAAATGCTGTCATAATTTGCAACTGTCAAATGGCACCTTGGAGTGAAAACTGCTCGAATGCATTTTTACATAGTTTGTCTTTGCTAATTTTTGTTGTAGCAAAATTTATAAACCACTTGCAAATATATTATGATAGCATCCGGAAGAGGTACAATTTAACTCGATAAATGTTAACTAGTTTGTAGTTATTGTATTTACTGTGTTTTACTGTACATTTCTGAAGAATTACATAGGAATCATATACGATTTGTTACTTATTATTTTTTATATATCGTTGTCGTATTATACAACATCATAATGTCCACTATTTTTTAAAATCTCCTTTGTCAGATTAAATGTGCGAAAAAAAATACAGAGACATCAGTTGGTCAATTTCAATTTTCATATACAATTTTTTGGAACTCTGTAAAATTTTAAAAAGTGACAAGACATCATCCTATTTTTATTTGGTTGACGTGGAAGTCCGCAATATATTTATTACGACACGACGATTTCCGGGTTCGATTCCCGGAAGGATCAATTTCGGGAAATGAATTTATCTAAATTGGTAAATTCCGTTGCTCCGGTACCCACAGGGAACTCCCTAGTTCGAGTCCGGATAGTCGGTGCGTTCATCTAGCACATTAAATGAAATTAATACTAGCTACAAACACTGAGGGGCTGATGTCGTTGATGAAATAGAATTGACTATATTGGCGGGAGCGTACCGGACGACGCGTCCGGTTGCGCGGCCGCGCAGCCGCAGCGGCGCACCTTGACGGCGTCGGTGTCCACGGTGCGGAACCTGAGCGTGCCCGAGCACGAGCGGAACACGGCCAGCTCGCGCCGCGGCGCCGTCGCGCACGCGCACGCGCACACGCGCGCTCCGACTAAGACAAGCCCAAGGTCACGGACGCGCTTGTCCGTAGCCGTAGCAGTGCCGCTCGGACCTTTAAAGCGCTAAGATCTAAGGGGCACTGCCACTGCGCCCGTCACCATGAGACACAAGTGGACAAGTCCCATGTGCCTGTAATTTCACCAGCACCAAGACAGAAATAGGTAAGGTGGCTGCGCTTCCCTGGACGAACTCTTTCACTAGGAGCTCTACTGCTATTAAAACTCTTCTACAATGGACATTTCCGAACCTCGACTACTTGTCGATATCCTATCGGAGAATTTGGAGAGCATGCGTTCCATCTCCATCTCCGTTTAGACATATAGTAAGTGTCACAAGAGGTGAGATTGTGACAGAGCGTGCATCTATTTACCATTACCATTGACCAAAAACTCGAGAGGATTGCCATCGAGTATCTAACCAGAAATAGAGACGAAATTTAGTTTTTTTAAAAACTATTCTGCCATATCATTACTGTGACAACTGCGCTCCGGTTGGCCAGCCCGAATTCGAAACAATTGATGGGTGTCGTCAATGGATAATAATGGACGAAAATTGCAATATTACATATTTAATATTTAATTACCGATGAAGTATGATTTCGTTTGTTTTGTAATTAGATGTTTTGCTGTTTTTCCCCACGCTACCGAATGGAACAGCCCCCCATAGTTAGAGATTATTATCTTTATTATAATAAATATAGACTATTTTTGGAATATAGGTACGGAGATGTACACACAGGTGAGTTGTTGGCGCTGTACTATTTCAGCTTTCTAATTTGTAATTTCAGTGCAAACGAGAGTTGATATTTATAAGTGATGTATCACTCATGAGTTACCAGGAACGAATGGCCCTTATTTCGGTCTAAAAAGGTCAAAATTCCGTCTTTGTACAATGGCGCTGATCGATAGCCCGAAAGTAGTTTATATTACGTAAACGGGCGTGGATATCAATTAATTCCTCTTTAATATGAAATATAAGAAGTAATTTTGTTTTTCTTATAATATTATTCAAATATTGGTCACGAGCTGAAATTATCATCTGAACTTAAAATATATGTGCCAATAGATGGAATTGTATTAAAAAGTAATTCCTAACCAGTGTTGGGCAAAATTTAATTGTTCTGGCAATTAAAGATTGGCAATTGATTAATTGTCAATTGCGAAACAGCAATTAACGATTGATCAATTGTTAATCGCAAATATCTACAATTAACAATTAATCAATTTTCAATCTTTTTTGTACGATGTTTTTGATTAACAATTAACAATTAAAACTGACAATTATGATAAATTTATAGGGCATATGGGGGTGAGTTAGGGCGTTGGTTGTGGGGGCCTGTTGGGGGCCTGCTGGGGGCAGGTTAGGGGGCCGGCTGGGGGCAGGGGAGGGCGCGGGTGGGGGGCCCGTTTGGGGGCCCGGTTGGGGGTCCCGGTTGGGGGCCCCGGTTGGGAACCCGGAGCCCCAACCGGGTTCCATAAACATCTGTGCTATAAGCGCCATCTAGTTGATTTGTTCATCATTAAAAAAAATTAGGGTAGCTTTGATAAATTGCAGCTTGTCAATGTAAAACAAATTAGTTATAAAAGTAGCTATTTGGTACTCGTCGCGACATCTGGGATACCAATAGGTACTAAATATCCGACTACGCTGTCCTGTATCGCGATTAGCAACCCTCTCGATTTATTGGTCCATGCCATTAACAAGAGAACAAAACACAACTGAGACATTTTAAAATCGCTTGTGTCGTGCTTGCTCTAGTAGGAACGATAAGGATTTGAGTTTCCGTCAAGTCACCGCCGCGGAATCTCATGATTAAGGACTGCGAATTGGTTCGAAACATGTCGAATCAAAATACGACTTAAATACGTGAGTTATCCGTTATTTTAGTTAATTTCTGAGTCTCAGGGTGGTTTTCTATTTAAAACGGTAAGGATCTTTTCACAACAAAGTAACAGTGATAATTTTATAGATGAACTGTATTTCTATTCGAACTCACCGTGAGGATCCATTGTATATTTGTTGACCATGGTGGGTTCCGGTGTTGGCGGTGAAGTTGGCTTTGTTTCCTTCCGAATTAACGGGTCAGTGATGAACGGCGAGCTGGTGGCTTGCGGCTCTGAAAGAGGCAAATGATATTCCATACGATCGTCTTTCGAACCATGCGTCGGTACAGGAGATTCAGAAATTAAGGACATCCTATGTTGTTCCGCCTCCCTTTTGCTATCAGATGCGTCAAGATTGTCGTTTTCGTTTCCTTCTGTGCTTGCGCCAGTATCGTATTGCTTTGATTTGCCTTCGTTTTTACCCGTGTCCAGATCTTTATATTTCATGTCTTTGCCCGACGACGGCAACATTATGGACTCCATGTGTTCGGAGCTGTTTCTATTGTTGTTGTATACTTGTTTATCTCTGGTATGGGTCATTTCCTTCCTTGTTTTAGTTAAGGAACTCGTCAAGTCATTGGAATTTCCTTTGCGTTCTGATTTGTAGGCCTTTGTTTCCCAAGGCTTTGTGACCGGAAGAGGTCCTGGAATCTGCTGTCTATAATCTTCTGTCGGAAGTACGGTTGTTTCTGTATTTTCATCATTTGCAATTGCTTCTTTTCCCGGGCAATATTTTTTACACAGACAAGTTATTTTACCGTAGTTCGCTTTCTCTTTTCTTTCTTTTCCTTTCATCTTCTTTCGTTGGTCTTGGTCTGTTATTGTATCCAATTTGTCGCTGAAATTAAAATCACTACATTTCTTACTGTTCGATTCGTGAGTAACCTAAATGTGATGGAGTTTCTTGCCGGTAAAAACATCACTTACATTGCAGAAGTGGGGACATCAGGAGGTTGTGTGTGTAGTGTAGTGAAGCTGGCGTCGTAGTCATTCCAACGTCGGTTCGCGTCATCTAAGATTCGGCGGTCAATTTCATCCTGTTGAGAAATAAAAAACGCGAGTTACATATGTAAGGAGAATAAAGCTATAGCTATATCAAAAATAAAAAGTAGCACAAATAAGATTTTTTTAACTGCCTCTGTTTCACGGTTACCTTGCTGGACTGCTTGTTGGACTACCATACAGAGGCCCCGGGTTTGATTATCGGGACGGGATAAATATTTGTAAGGCCTATATTTATTTCTCTCGCGGGTTTAGTTGTATTTGTAGTTGTCTACCTAGTGCGAGTCCATGGCACCCGCGATACAGAGTTTTCCTAGTGCGGGGCTACGAATGTATGTAAAAAAAAGAAGCGCTGAAGATTTAGGTTCCAATCCATATTCGAAAGGCGAGAATCTATTTCAGTTTATACTCAATTTTTATTTCCTTTCTCTCTCTAATCTATGTTAAACATTTCAATACGACAAAGCACGCGGTAATGTTAGTAGTAAACACGTGGGTCTGCTAGATGTCGCCACTAATACATATATAAAAAAGACAACAGACAAACGACGATTAGCGAAGATTGTTAATGACTGTTCACTTTTGAAAGCGTAGTGACCGTGCTCTTACGTCAGATACGAGACGAACGATATGATTTCATGGGAAATTACTTTATTGTATATAAATAATTTAGCATACGTTGCCTATGCAATCAATACGTAGACTCAAGAAGTTTAGTGTATTCTGAATTTAAAATGGATACTATTAATATAAAAGGAACATTTTGGTAAATTAGTGATTTTTTTCCCCCGTACACATAATTTGGAATCTGTGACAATGATAATATTTTTGTTTTTAAACCATTTATTATGTTTTTAAATTGTCGCGGAACGTTGTCCTTTTTACATGAGTGAAAGAGATAGTTGCTAACTAGGCAATATTTTACTACGGCAAGGGAATTCGGCATCTTGCCTCGTCGGACAAAACAGTCAGTCTCATTTGTTCATAATTAACTTTGTATATTTATATCAAAACGTTATGCCTCGAATTCATTTTCTTCTCTGTTCGTGTGTGTCACTTAATAGTCAGCGGAGGAGGGCGGAGCATCGAAGAGAAAACACATTAGATACGATGGCTATGGACCAAATACTTTTCCATTCCTTGTAATTTATTCTACAATATATCGAGTTAAAACTATCAAAAACGGTCAATGTCTTGTGTACATCCTGTTGTTCTGACTTTCTGTTAATTTTTTTTATGATACCAAGAAATTAACGCCTGATAGATAGTTAACGACACGCCTGTCCATAACCGTTGCAGTGCCACTCAGTGCTTTAAATCACAAAGATAAAAAGGGCACTACTACTGCGCCCGTCACCCTGAGACATAAGTTGATAAGTTCCATGTGTTTGCAATTTCACCAGCACCCCTTACCCTTAAAATTGGCTGCAGAAATAAGTAAGACGACAGCACTTCCCTGGATGAACCCTTTCACAAGGACCTCTACTGCTACTAAACTAAAATGATGTTTACTTTAGACTTGAACTTTTCTTTCTTGTCGCAGAACGGTCCAATGCTGGGGCGGTGTCCGGTGAACCGATGTGGTTCCACATCTGCCTCACCTTCTGATAATGCAACCTAACGAAAACACAAAAAATTATTCTACACACTAAAGTTTATCTAGTCCATCGAAAGGTAAACATGTAGCAGTAGAGCTCGTAGCTACAGAGTTCATCATAGGAAGCAATGCCATCACATCAATTTCTGCTGCCAAGTCGTAATGTGAGCAGTTTGACCATTACTGCTTTCTGGTTTCAAAGGATAAGGGTGCTGGTGAAACTGCAGACACATGGGACTTGTTAAAGTTTTGAGTAGCACAGAAACTTTTTTAATAAAAAAAAAAGTGCGCATTATACTTCCATCTCAACTGATGGAAAGTGACAATGAGGTTGACGATGAAGCATGCAGAACCAAATAATACCTATTCGCTCTCGTCTTGAAAAGGCCCAAGTTAGAGCGTTCAGGGAATAAGTCTGCAGGCAGGGAATTAAACCCATAGCCATTTGCTATATAAATGTGGATGCGTAACGCTTCGTGCGAATTTCCGCTCGTGTCTCTATCAACTTTTCCCTTGCGACCTTACTCAACATTTAAATAAATAATTTAGCACAGGTTGTCGATGAAATCAATACGAAGACTCAAGGAGTGTACAATAGAGTCACGAGTTATGCTTATTTTAGTGAATTAAAAACTTTAAAATGCTCCCCTGTAAACTTGGCAATTTCGACATACGATACTTTATGTAGCAGGGGTCTAATTACACTTTTTGAGTTAGTACACTATTGTTATAACAGTGCGATTTGTTTTAGGACTATTGCAAATTATTCAATTATTTCCCCCGTACACAAAAAAATTAACACTTTTCTAAATTCTATTATTATCTTATTAATTGGTTTTATTATGGACAAGACGACTGCTAATCTCCATACTACCAGATCGTAGCTCTGAAAAAGGTCAATAACCCGTCCTATATGTAGAAGGCGCAAAAAAAATCCTCTTGATTATGAAAATATAAGTAGTCATTATTTTATCATTGTAATATTATTCTAATATTAAGAGGGAGCATGCCAAAAAAGTTTTGACGTTGGCTCCGCCCAAATTTGTGAAACAAATATATGTTCGCGTGACATGCGACAGGAGATGTTGAATTTTGCGCATTAAAAGTACCAAATTCGTTTTAGCGGAATAAATCTAAAACTAAAGGGATTAAAAAAAATCCGTAGTGACAGTTGTCGAGCATGCATAAATATAATTAATTATCAAATTTTTGTCCTAATAACCTGTAGCATTTCGAGGATAAATCGAAAAAATGTGAAAATTAGAGGTCATTTCGTGATTTTTATCTATCGAGGAAACTTTATTGTTTTATGTTTCTGATTAATGTCTATGCTTGAATATATCGTGTAGTTACTCATACAATATTTTATTTTTAACTTTAAAGTGGATATACCCCTCTAAAATCAAATCGAAGATTAGGAATTTTTCCTCTGCTCCCTCTAAAGCCATGAGTCAATATTATTTTCTGAACTTTGACAAATATTGGCATCAATACAATAGCACTGTGTCTTGCGATCGATTCGATTTCGATAGGTAATTTATAAACGTTAATTTATTATTGTTGTTGTTGCTAGTATGGGTAGATGGCGTTAATCCTAAACAAAATAAAAGAATAGTCGGCAATATGCATAAATATTTTTTGTAGTAGCAGTAGAGGTCCTTGTGAAAGAGTTCGTCCAGGGAAGTACTGTCACCTTACCTATTTCTGCCGCCAAGCAGTAATTTCAGCATTACTGTGTTCCGATTTTGAAGGGTAAGGGTGTAATTACAGGCACATGTGACTTGTCATCTTACGTCTCAGGTTAACGGGCGCAGTGGTAGTGCCCCTCAGGTCTATGCAATTTAAAGCTGTGAGTGACATCAGGCGCACGACTTGGTCGTCCCGTCACTTAATGTTATAAAAAAAGCAATAAGCGCCATCTAGTTGTTTTATTTATTACCATTAGAAATTATCTAGTTTTCATAAAATGCAGCTTTTCCAGACTGGACAATAAAAAACATGTATTAGGATTAGAATGTTCGTGTATTGTAGAAATAGGTGTATTAAATTTACATTCGTGGAAAATCACTGGATTTAAACGTTCTCAGCGACGTGCACTGTTCGTGAGTAGTGGTTGCGGACAAGCGTACAGCGCCGCCGCGCCGCCCGCGCATCTAAAGTCCCCTCGCCTTGTCGGTTCCTTCCATCGTTTACACGTCTCGTCAATGTAAAATAAATTTGTTTCACAAATAGCCATTTGGTATTTACTCGCTTTACTTACATTGATTTATCAATATGTACTTGTTAGCCGACTATGGTGTCTTACATCGCAATTAGCAGTCCCCTTGACTTATCGGTCAATGGTTTTACTAATTTAAAAGGTACGGAACATGGTCCTTTTTTCATAGGAGTGAATGAGAGACATTTTACTAAGGAAGGGAACAGGCATTTGCCTCGTCGAAAACAGTCAGGCGTTTCATTTGTGCAAAATATATTCATTTAGGTTTCAAATTCAATGGCCTCGAGTTCTTAAAGCGAACCAATAACAAAGTAGATCAAAATACATCTCTAGTCAGCTGCTGGGAGCTGTAAAGGTACGAACTGAGTAAAGAAAAGCTTTCATAGATTTCTCACAGATGGCGCTACGTCACCAAAGTCGTTAAAAACCAAAAACAAAGATCTGCAACAAGGACGTAGATAAATTCGTAAGATCCACTATTCCGTGGCTTAGTTGGCACAGCGTCTGCCACGGTTTGCTGGAAGACGTTGGTTCGAATCCAGCCGGATCGAAGGGATTTTTCTGAGTGTTAATAATTAGAAGAAAATAGTTATAAGTTTACCTTAGATTCTTCTTGTATGTCCGCCTTTTCTGTTTTGTCATTGAAAGATGCGTGAATGCTGGTGCGGTGTGGGCGGCTTCGATTTGATTCCACATCTGCCTCATTCGAAGGTGATCCAGCCTAATAAATGAAATGAATTCATGAATATCAGAATGTATTGCGCATAAAACTTTAGCCTGGCAATATTGAACAGTAATGTAAGTGTTTTGAAATAAGTTAATATACAAAACGCGACCTTGCTTTCCTACTTATGTAGTCATTTCTTTCAAGGAAACTTAGGATAGAAAATTAGGAGATGCAAAGAGCAGTATTATTGTAATATGTTTTTTAAACATTGACCTACCAACAAATGGACGACGGGTCTAATACAAAAACCACCAAGGAAATGTCCGAAGTTAACCTACACAAACATAGTCTACCGCCTTCATTTGAAAGAGCACAAGTAACATTTTGTTCAAAAAGAATTTTGTGTACAGTCGTGATCAGTAAAAAAATTACGATTTGTCACTATTTTTATTTTTTCCTAGGTGGATAAGGTATTAAGTTACCGCAATAGAAAAGTAGATATTTTTAACATCATTTCTTTAAACATTATTTTCTCGGTTTTGACTTTTTGTCTCAAGTGTCCTTTCAACTAACGGCGACTGTAATGAGGTATAAAGAAATATAAAAAACTAAAACATTTTTGAAACTTTAATGAAACAAAAACTTTGTACACAGCTTCTGTGTACTTGGATGACAAAAATCCATAGTAATGGTCCAGTTAGCTCTTTCTTATTGTACATATATCTATTATTAGCAGAAAACCCTTTACAACTCTTTTGTATTTAAGCCTGGCACACACTCAGTCCGCGTTTTATTCTTTGCTGTCGAACTCACGATCATTAAGCTTGGTGCATTACTTTATCGATCTCATCATTAATCGGAATATCTTTTCATAGAGTTTCGTAATTTGTTTAAAAAAATATATACAGGCTGTATATTTGAAAGTGAGACATATTCATACATGTCATAGTAAATCATGTTACAACTTAACATAGACTAAAATAAAATTAGGATATGGGATAGAACAAAAAATAAATCAACAAATGTGTTTTAAAGTGTAGATAGGAATAAACCGATTCCCTTTACGCTTGATTTCGAGTGCAATGGGAATGCTACCAAGCGAGCGCCGAGTGAGACAGCAACAATAACAATGATTTCACATTTACGTTTTAGGTTATGTTAATTGTTTTTTACTTGAACTATCATCGAAATGTTTTAGTAAGTAGTTATCATTTAATAAGAATTGAGGTTTTTGGCGTAGTTAAAAATGTGAAATCAAATTAATTACAATGATTGATTTTTTAGTTATTTGCAGTTTATTTACACTTACGTGGTACGGAGCAAGTGTTCAAAATGTCCACCGTTTTCCACAATGCATAGTCTAGCACGGCATAGTAAATTTTGTTTTAAATTGTACAACACAAACACATTTTGTCTCACAGTATAAAATGCTGAGATAATCCTCTCACGCAACGCTTCGACACTGTTCACCTCCTCCGCGTAAACTCCGATTTGGGAACATTTCAATAGCTTGCCTCACACTATCACCACTTATTGCGTAAAGTCGCACCATCTCAGTCAATTCCACGTTAGAATAAATACCCATTTTGCGGCGATCGGGTGAGCGGAAGGACAAATAATTTACGTGTCTTAGTTAGATCAAGGTCGCGCGTGGACTGAGCAATTTCGCGTATGCGCCCGCGTCCTCACCATCGACCTGTGCTTTGCTTTTCGCCGCTGCGTCGGAGCAATAATAGTGATGTGCATAGATTTCGATAACTAATGTTGTGCTCAAGTAGTAGTCGATAAAAAAACTTAAAAAATATTTTTTGTAAAGTTTAAGTTCATTAGTTTATTATTTCTTTGGGTTGAGAATCAGGAATATAACGCACTCTATAAGTATGTCCCATTTTCAAATATACAGCCTGTATATTAAATATTTCTCGCTAATACTATGATATTTGAAATAAACATTGCAAATGATAAATGTGAACAAAGGTCTATTTAGTAACGTTCTAAAGAACCTTACTCATTCTTCTCAGGGGAATCTGCTTTACGAATGATTAGTCGAGTTTAATGTATTTTGCTTGTTTATGAGATGAAGATATTCTCGATTTTATTTTTTTATTTAGTAAGACTATAAAATAAGACTTACAGCTTGCGCCTTAAGGTTGTCCAACTGCGATTGTAGGTTGGATATTCGCTGAAGCAAATCTTCGTTAGTTTTGACTAGCGCCTCCTGCAAATAATAATCATCATCAGCAGGAAGACGTCTATTGCTGAACATAGGCCTCCTCCAAAGATTTTTTTTATTCTAATGTAAGTGCGCATTTGACCTCCATCTCACCTGATGGAAAATGACGATGAGGTCGGCGATGGAGCATGCACACCTAGATAAATGTTGCCTATTCACTCTCGCCTTGAAAATGTCCAAGTTATAACGTTCAGGGAACAAGTCTGCAGGCAGGGAATTCCACTCCATAGCCGTTCGCCATATAAATGTGGAAGCGTAACGCTTCGTGCGAATCTTTGGAGTATCCACAACATAGGGGTGGAAGCCAAGCCTATGCCTAGTCCCCCGAAGATGGAAATGGATGGGGATGGATGGAGATTGGCAGACTAGCCGGTCGGATGCGACGTGAAACATAATTAGATTTCCAAAATATAAACAAATGAGAAATCCAAGGAAAAAAATATATTTTAAGTGGTAGTTTCCTATTGACGATAATAAGCGTTTAGAATTTTTTTCAAGCTGTAATCAGATAAAACTTAAAACAATGTACATTTTTCAATATATATTTTTAATCAATTATGTTTAATACAATAATTATAACAAAAGATTAATAAATGTTTAAGGTTGTATATAATTTTATAATGTTAAAAAAACAGAACACGTAGCTCCGTACACGTAGTACACGTAGTAGTATGCTCCTTTAAAATGGTAAATGGTTTTTTTATCAACCTGTATGATACTAAGGTGTGTTTATGAATAAACATATCCTATTATTACTATTATGCTATAAATAAACAAATTAGTATATTTAATACCTTATCATCAACTTCGGAGAGTCTACTTTTATTTGGGTCCGTGAAACCCGAATCTTCTGATTTCCCTCCGTAGTATTGCACCGATGTTGACGTTACCGTTAGCCTGTCGCCGCCCTCCTGAAATAGTATGTTATACAAGTATCTGTTACGGAATCACCCAGTCAGAAACTTCATTATGCCAATGCTGTAAGAGCGAAAAAACTCGTTGAGGGTTTCGCTTCCGCTCAGATTGTCTTTTTCACTCTTATTTTGCACAAAGAAGCGCTGGCAGTACTGAAAAAGTAATTGTTAGTATCGAGTTCTTAGGTTTTCGCGATTGTTACATAGGAAATGAAACTATTGTTCCGGATTTAAATCGCGTATATTTGTTTTTTCAAACAAACCGACGTTTTGGGCCCTTTACAGGTCCCATGGTCAACCGTGACCTTTATTTGTGAACTTTATTGACTTTTTTACCTTAGTGGGTGTATCGTTCCAGTCCACTGGAGAGTTCATGGAATCACGATGATCTCTGGAAGCCCTGTCATCCCTCGAACTTTCCGCCATCTACGAAGCAAATATCAAATCAAACATCATCATCATTTATAGAGGTATTCAATAAAACCTCAAATATGCAACACATTGCAATTTTAAAGTTAGAGTTTTGCTTCAGTCTCTATGTTTTGTTTAGTTCTCCACGGGCCCTAAAAAGACCCTCAGCTGTCTCTGTGTCCGTGACTACCGCGTCGTGACGCCAAATGCGAGTACCTTAATACTTTAAGCGAAGTGTCCTCTTTCTGGAGGGAGATCTAAAAATATCGGTAAAACCGTATGCGTGTTTCATTATTTTTTGTTAACCTATAAGTTCAAAGGACTGTATCAACATACAAACGCACATTTCATTTCTGACCAAAGGTTTGAACGATATTCAAGGTAACGCTATTATTATGTTCAAGCATACAAAATTAATATTTGGTATTCAAAAATAATAGAAGATCCTCTTATTTTTTAACCGACTTCAAAAAAAAGGAGGAGGTTCTCAATTCGTCTGTATGTTTTTTTTGTATGTATATTGCACGATAACTCCGCCGTTTGTGAACCAATTTTGATGATTCTTTTTTGTTGGAAAGAAGGTACCTCAGATGTGGTCCCACTGAAGAAAATATTCCACCTCTAAGGGTGGCAACTAGGGGATGAGTGACTTTTGACGTCGGTTTTTTTAACCGGAGGTTAGGTTATTTAAATTAGCCTTTTCTTTTAATAATATATAGATGTCATTTGTAACTAATATCTTTTGATATTGATCTCTTAATAAATCTTGGTTGCTTGGTTGCGCTGTCTATTCGGTTAGGTTAGGTTAGTATACGAAAAAATAGCACGAAGCGAGTGTGCTGCGGCAGCGGCTGGCGAGTGCTAGAAGCCAATTTGCTTGCGTTCCCGAACATGTTTTAAGGTCAAAGTATATTATAATTAATATAGCATGAGTACACAAATATAATCGACATTTACTTAGTTTTAAAAATATGTATCTAAATTTTATTTTCAATGTTCAGTTGTCTTACTTTTGAGGCCCAACATAAAACTATCAAAGTAGTTTTTTTATAGCATCAAGTGACGGGACGAACCAGTCGTGCGCCTAATGGTTAGCTACACGCCTGTCCATAACAGTTACAGTGCCACTCAGAGCTTTAAATTGCAAAGATCTGAGGGGCACTGCCACTGTGCACGTCACCTTGAGACATAAGTTGACAAGTACCATGTGCCTGTAATTTCAACTGCACCCTTCAAAACCGGAACACAGTAATGCGGACATTACTGCTTGCCAGAAATAGGTACAGTGGCAGTACTACCTTGGATAAACTCTTTCATTAATTTTCAGAAATCATTTTTTGCGCAGCTCAGAACATTATTATGAAAATATCGATTGATTTAATTTATTTTGTCACAGAGAAAAAGGATCAATCATTAAAAAAGATGACCGTTTAGATATTTTCCTATGCTGCTTTTGCAAATTTAGGACCATTCGACCCCTCCGACGTAAAGTATCGTATGTCGCAATTGCCAAGTTTACAGGGAAGCGTTTTAAAGTTCTGAATTCATTGAAACGAACATAACACGTGACTTTAGCATTTCTCAGTTTTATTCGGCAAAGCTCATTACTCACATAAAAGCCTAGATATCGGTTAGATGATCTATGGTGATCACGCTTTCAGTGAATTCAGAACTTTAAAGCGCTCCCCTGTAAACTTCGACATACGATACTTTACGTAGGAGGGGTCGATTTAAATACATGCCACTAATAATCGAGTAAAAATTCGTTCAGAGAAGGGATAATTTTTGCTTTCGGGGTGATGATAACCATATTGGTAACATACCGAATAATCATTGAGTCTTTCGTGTCTCTTGTCTTCTTGAGCCAGATCCAGGGTCTTTACTTCATTAATACGATGCAACCTCTCTTCGAAGGCGCGCGTCACCTGCCCCGCGATCTCGGAAGCTTTTATCTGCGCCTGCAGCTCCGCCACGCGGCTTTGTTCCAGTTTTAATTCAGTGTCTATATCACCTACAAACAGTCGTATTATAGGAATAATTGCATATTTTATAACTTACAAGTATAGGAACTGAAACTATTTTATAAGCAAGTTTAGTAAATGAAAGAAGCTTATTAGTTCCTCAAGGAATTTTGGTCAATTCTACATGAACATTAGTAAATCCAAAGATCGACGAAGAAGACGTCTCTTAGCAAACCGTGACAGACGCTATGGTAACTAAGCCACGGAACGAACCAGCGGACCTCACGAATTTTTCTATGTGCTTGTTGACGGATCTTTGTACTTCGTTCTCACCGCATTGTTGTTGCATATCCCGTAGTTTAGTTTTCAATTCCTTCACCTCTCCGTCGTGACGCTGTGAGGTATGATCCCTGTCTCCACGAATACGTAAGTTTTCCTCACGCAAATTTGATACTTCTTGCTCGAGACGGGAAATCCGGCTTGAGTATTCGTCGTGAGTATTAGTTAGCTCCTGCCGACGACATTAATTATGATAACCGCTAAGTGAATTCAAGATGGCGAATCGATTATTGGAATAGTTTGATCAAATACAAAATTGTAGCAGCGCAGCGTGGAAATCTATTAAAAATATTTTGACATTTATCATTGACTTACAATTATATGGACGTCGGATCCGCGCTAAAAAGTGTCCGAACTTATAGTGCGTTAAAATCGTATACAGAGCGTCATTCACGCTTTAGTCTTCGTTTGTTCAACTGACAGCGAAGCAAGCAAAATTAGACAGTACTGCGATGACATTACAATTTAAATTCAACGTTTTAGCTTTTTCATATTCCTTTACATGTCACTACGTTTAAATAGGTTGACTTGGGACATTTTTTTCGTGGTTTTTGTATTAGACCCGTCGTCCATTTATTTGTAAGTCAATGCAGAAATTCGTCTCAAAACAATTTTGTATATAAAGATAAGGTTCAATTTCTAATAAATATACTGATATTTTTGATAGATTTTAAAGCTAATTTTGACGCTGGCTGCACCAAAAACTCGCAATCAACTAGTTGGGAGCTCATGTCAAAGTTTGATTAGAAAGTTTGATCCATAAGAATCTCACGAACACTATTGTCGATTTTGAAATTGAACATATGATTTTGAGTATTTGAAAGTAAAATAAGCAAATGTTAATAAACAAAGGGTATACTAACAGCTTGCAAATAAGATATTTTCTGTTTTAACTCCTGCATCAGAGTTCTGCATCTGTTCTCATCGCATAGCTCAGGCGAACTGCAAATTTAACATTTCTTACAACACGAAAAAGGAAAAGAAATTAAAATTTACTTAAAACGTTATCTATCATAAGCTGAACTATTTGCTACAACCAAAACAGGACCCCGATTCAGAACTCTTTCGATTGGATATCGTTCTCGAATCGAAGGGCGCTTTCCGAGCTACTCAGAACATTCCGAGTCAAACGTTCGATTCGGATTCGGATACGATACGGTTATCCAACAGCGTTTGCGGTGTTACTCGTTGAAATAGGTTCATTCAGATAGGATTGAACGTGTACAAAAACGTTTCCTCTATCACCTAACGTATAATTTTAAATGTAAGCAGTTATTTTCATATGAGTCACGTCTCTCTTATTTTAATATTTCCTCATTGCAAAAACGCCGAAAATCGCTTGACCTGATCTTTTTATTTAAGATTATTCATGGTGTCATCGACGCTCCTGATATACTCGAGTGCTTGTATCTATCTGTACCTCGTCCCGGAAGTCGCCTAATCAATCGTAAAACTTTCGCACTCCCTATTTGCAGAACCAACCTTGGTCAACACAGTCCAGTGTATCGCATGTGTTCTTATTATAATGCTATCAGATATGATTTTGACATATTCTCTTGTTCTGTGGTCTCAGCTAGAAACTCAATAAGAAAATGTGTTATATAGTGACTGCGCGATGAATTTTAGTTGTCTGTTTCCTATTTCATAAATAGTAGATATGTAAATCTTAATTTACTATAATTTTGTTTAAACACTTTGTTTTAAATACGAAACGCTTTGTTCACATCTAGAAGGACACACTCTTCTCGCCTTATAATGTTAACCAATCTGTAGTATTTGATTTAAGACTTGTATCCAGTTTTGTGAACCGAATAAAAAAAAAAAGAAAAATTGATGGTCAAAAATATAGGAATGCAATATTTTTGCATTAAAATAAAATTAAACAAAATCCAGACTTTATTGAAAATGATAAGAGATTTCCATATTACATTCTTACTTTGTAAACAATATGACGTTCGGTAACTTTCATTCGACAACTGTTTCCTGAAAAACGTTTGTAGCCTTTGCCGGTCGAGAAGTTCGAGTAAACGTAAGGGTGTGACATCATTTCGGTTCGGTTTTGAATACGACAGTTTAACGTTCGATTCGGGTGTTGTGAATAGAAATGAAATCGGTCGACAACTGAGTTATCGTAAGATTCTGAACCGACTCACTGCACCCAAGTAACGCGCGGCGACGCGCGACTCCATATTTACATAACACAAATTTGTACCTTAATAATGGGACAATAGAGATGAATATGCTATAGGCGAAAACATGACGCGTCGCGACGCTTCGACTGTGCGCCTGTGTGACTTGAGCCTTAAGAGAAGGCGATAGTTCTCTTTGTTTCCTTCTTTCAATAGTGGCGCCCAACGTGTGTACGTATTGTACAAGAACATTTTCGAGTTCTTAGGTTTTCGCGATTGTTACACATAGGAAATGAAACTATTTTTCCCGATTTAAATCGCGTATATTTGTTTTTTCAAACAAAACGTTTCGGGCCCTTTACGGGTCCCATGGTCACGGTTGACTGAGGTGGTACAGTCTTCAACCAGTTATGTCTAATATTGATGCAAACCACCCTATTTTTTCACTATAGTTACAATAGTTATTAATTAAATACCTTATTTTTAATTTTACAAAGAAAACATTCCAATTTACGCTACATTAAGTTATACAAATTATTTTATCGAATGAATTTTTATTAAGTTCAATTTATTATTAATTAATAATAGAAATTATAATAAACTAAACGGTTTGTTTGAAAAAACAAATATACGCGATTTAAATCCTGAAAAATAGTTTCATTTCCTATGTTATTACCTTTTGTTAGATCCAATAAAATCAGGTTTAGTGGTTTGCTTTGATTTGTCTTCTTTTTTTACTTTGTCAGGTACTCGGCTGAAATGGGTAACATAAATTAATAATTTATGTAATTTGGGTAATTTTTAGGTAATTTGATATATTATCAAATATACGTGTATGATAATTGATAATTGAGATTGTCAAGTATTTTTTTATGACTTATCAAATAGCAACACTATTTGTAAATAGTGTTGCTGTAGTTAATCTCAATGCATTTGACATTAAAGGAAACAAAACGGTTATTTTTACCGATGATTTAGCTCGCCTACCGATTGCCAACCGAGAGGAAGAGTTGCCTATGCCTAATTTTCATAATACGTGAAACTTTTTTTAAGCACTCCACCTTCTACCACATGTCTTCACGACCGACAATATACGGTTAACTATAACTCGTACAGATTACAATTTTCTATTCTTATATATCAAAATATCATCACTGGGTATCACAAATTTTTGTTAGTAATTAGTAAAAAGAACTGTTATTACAACTGATTCAATTAAATAAATCAAAAGGCGTATGTGGGACAATCCGGATTCCTCAAGTTGTGACGATGTTGACTTTTTTTATTCGCACGGCAGTACGATGCGAACGACGTTACCCTATACCGTAACTAGAATTCAAATAGCGCGACCTGCGCAGGCGACCGTAGTACACGCACACATGAACAGGTTCACCCTACGGTATCACTTAAAAGAATTGATTTTCGATCTTGCGCCGCCCGGTCGTCTGCGCTGGTATACAAAACTGCACAGGTCCGTTCCAACACACGTTCCGGTCTGCCTGCACAGGTCGACCTCTCCGGTATATACTATACCGTAGCGTGTACAGCCGGCATAATGGTATTTGTTACCAAATTTGTCTTATTTCTTACTGAGTGAATGATAATGAATGAATGATATTGTAACATTACCTTTTGTTTTTATGTGTTTGCTCTTGAGTGTCCATATCATTTTCCGCTTCAAGACTTGTGAGATCATGCTCCCTGAAAAACAAGAGCAAACATTGTCAAATTAATAGAGAACGTTTATTTCTCTAGCTATCAAAAGATATTCAGTAGATATATTTATAATTGTTGATGTGCCCCGATCGTTGTTAACCGTATCTAGACCAGCGCCAGTGGCGTAATCTACGTGGTATATATTTTTCTGGTGTTTGAAGAAACTAGAAAACTTTGTTTAAATTAACCTAATTAATTTTCAGATTGTTACATCTTAACTTGAAAGTTAGCCGACATGTAAACGACGTTGTCGACTCCGCGGTCAAGTCGTTTTCATGGTGTCGCCATCTGTATGCACCCGGGTTAGATACCCGGCCCATACAGACGGCCCGGATATACATTGTAGAAAATTATCTCTTTTATATTATTATTGTCTCGGGTCTGGGTATATGTGGTACCGTCGTTGTTTCCAATTTGCATAACACAAGTGCTTTAGTAACTTACTTTGGGATCAGAGCAATGTTATGTAATATTGACTAATATTTATTTATTATATTTATTCATTAACTGTTAAGAATGTAATTACCCAATCAACGGAATGTTATGTAAATTTGAATTCTTTCTTCTTCCTGCTCAAAGTTTTTTCTGAAATTAAGAAAAATAATTCGACCTGACTGAAGTCAGAGAACTTGGCCCTTCTTGGAGACATGCCCATAAGAACTCTAACATTACAAAAAATCCCGATCCCGGAATGCTCCCACAACGCTCCCTCTAACGTCTGTGTAGCCAGAGCAGTTCTTGGCCACCCTGGACCCATGGGGGAGGCTGTACAAAGTTGTGCGCAACAAAATGTACGGCGCATCCCCCATGGAGTCACTGGAGCTGGATCTCCTCAACCGAGTGGTGTAGGGCCTCTGCCCGGATCTCATCTCCTCCTCGGAAATCACCGAGGGGGAGATGGAATGGGCGCTGGGACGGCTGCGAGGGCGGAAGAAGGCCCCAAAGATATAGAAAAATAAGGTAGATATGTAATGACGCTATGTAAGATCGGGTACCGATGTCGCCACTTTTTAGCTTGTGTACAATTCAAACTTTACGCTCTATTATCTACTGCCATAACTTAAAGATTTTGGTTGGGTAGGGCATAAAACGTGAAAAAGACGTAACACAATTTTAAAATTTAACAAAATTTAACTTACAGTCACTTAAATAAGAGTTATATTAAAAATTTCAGTATTTTTTCTATCCTGGTTCAGCCATTCACCAGTGGCGTTTTAGTAAAAATGCTACTAGTATATCGTCGGTTAAAAGGTAAAACTCACTAATAGCCTAATTGGCCAAAGGGAGATAATTAAGATTTTGTATTTTTTCATTATGAAAAATCACTAAAGGACTGGTATGTATTAAAACATGAAGGACACCACAGACTTACTGAATTTTTCTTGTCATAGATGTTCTTCCCAATAAAGCAAAATTGAAAAAATCTAGTTTTTGAACAAAATGTCACTTAATGAGTTTTACCTTTTAACCGACGATATAATAGCTAACTAACAAAAGTTAGTTTCTGCACTTAGTAGTTAACAAAAGTTGGTTTCTACACTGACCCGGCCGCGGAACGACCCCGGGACCTCGGAAATGACGACACCATGAAAACCGGTGCAAACCACTCAACCACAAAGGCATGACATATAGTAATGACATAATATTTGATCCACCGAATTCAGGTACCACCGAAATCAGGATCATTTAACAATTTTTGTATAAAAAAAGAAAAAAAAGACAATAAAACATTCAATAATCTACATAAACATTTACTAACATGATTAACTATTAAATCAAGCTTTAAAAACTAAAATTTATATAAAAAAACGACCAGAACAATGCAAACAAATTGCATTTTATGATTATTAATTAAAATCAGTTTTCAATGTCTTCTTCAGAGAATGACATTAGCAATGTGTCCCTTAAGCGAATCTGCCTTATGAACGAGTCGTAGTGTTCAATGTGACAATTCAAATATGATTTCCTTGCCTATGAATTAAAAACATACATAATTATTTGAATTTACAAATTACAATTTGTAGTGTCCTTCTCTTTTCAGTTTTAATTTTAAATATTTATAAAATGAACAAAACTCACAATGTTTTATTATCTTCTGCTAATTTCTCAGTTTCTTTACTCAGTGTACGTTTCGACGACAAACATTCTCTGAAACACAGTTTTATCATGGACCAAGAATAATAATCGCGAAACAAGACAGTAGTCGGGTATTTAGTACATATTCGTACGCCAGATGTCGCGACGTGAACCAAATGGCTATTTTTGTAACTAAGCTGTTATACATTGACAAGCTGTGCAATTTATCAAAGCTACCCTAATTATTTTCTAGTGATAACAAACAAATCAACTAGATGGAGCTTATTGCAGAGATTTTTATGGATTGTACAGAAATAGAGAAGAGTTAAAGGCCATCCATCCTTGGCAACTCATCAGATAAATGGGCCCTATATCACTTTTAAATATCAACTCTCGTTTGCGCTGAAATCACAAATTAGAAAACTGAAATAGTGCAGCACCAACAACTGACCTGTGTGTACGTATTCGTATATTCCAAAAAATATTGTATTTATTGTAATAAAGATAATGTATCTAACAATGAGGGGCTGTTACATTCGGTGGTGTGGGAAAAATAGCAAAACATCTAATTACAAAACAAACGGAATCACATTTCATCGGTAATTAAATATTAAATATGTAATTTTGCAATTTTCTTCTATTATAGCGAAGCTCAAGTTAAACTGGACGATTTGAACTGAAAAATTGACGATCGAATTCGGGCTTGCCAATCGGAGCGAAGTTTGATGTGGCAGAATAGTTTTCAAATAAATTAAATGACATTTCGTCTCTGTCCCTATATATATACTCGATGGTACCGGATATTCCTTTATGTTGTTTAGGATTAACGCCATCTACCCATATTAGCAAGCGGTAATTTATAAATTGTTTATAACACACAATGCCATCTATTGATGCATATTTGTCAGAAAATAATTCGATCTCATGGTCAATATTTGAATAATATTACAAGGAAAAAAAAAACTGAGCGAAACTTTCACATTAAAGAGGAATCAATTTATATCCACTACCATTTACGTAATATAAACTACTTTCAAGCTATCGATCAGCGCCATCTGGACATAAGAAAGAATTTTGACCTTTTTCAGAGCTACGATCTGTAATATGGAGATAGAAATGGTTCTAGTAGCAGTAGAGCAGCTTGTGATAGAGTTCGTCCAGGAAATTACTGCCACCTTACCTATTTCTGCCGCCAAGCAGTAACGTCAGCATTACTGTGTTCCGGTTTTGAACGGTAAGGGTGCTGGTGAAATTACAGGTACATGGGACTTGCCAACTTAAGTCTTTCAATGACGAGTGCAGTGGCAGTGCCCCTCAGATCTTTGCGATTTAAAGCTCTCAGTGGCACTGCAATTGTTATGGACTGGCGTGTAGTTTACCTTCAGGCGCACGACTTGTTCGTCCCGTTACTAGATGTTATAAAAAAAGCGAGATTAGCAGTCGTCTAAGAGTTATTTGGTCTGTGGTTTCATAGAATTTTAGAAGATATACAAATGAGTGTAAATACGATGTGTGACACACCAGTTAACAGAGAGCATCAGTGTTTTACCAGAACAGTGGTTATTGTAAGCCACTGAGACAAGTAAATTGTGGGAGGATACGGGGTAAGATAAATATTGTTATACGAAACTTGTTAAGCTTTTCATATGAAAATTATAGTCTAACATGTTAGCTCAAATTCTAAGTTCAGTACTTAAGATTTATTTGTCCTGAGCCCATATCATGTACTCGATGCTACTTTTACTTTGTTTGCCATATATTAACTTGTTAAGTAAGTAAATTCCACCATTTAATTTTAAGAGCACTCCTACAGCGGGATCCCAGTTTCGGATAAATACAGCGTAACGAACATCGTATTTTACATATTTTTTATCGATACCTTAAAGAAGACGGAATTCCCATTCCGGAAATTTCGAAATTCCTTAAATGAACTCTGGCATTATAGGTCTATTTTTAAGAGGAATATAAATAAGTAAATAATTACTAGTTCTTGTATGACTGTTTGTTGCCACAAGTAAATAAAAAAAAAAAAATTCTGATCTCGCGTCACCGAACTCCTATAACCAAACTACCATTACTGAACTCCCATTAACGTATCCCATTACCGTATACCATTATGAACTCCCATTACCGAACTCCTATAGCCAAACTACCATTACCGTATCCCATTATGAACTCCCATTACCGAACTCCTATAAC